GTTAACCAACTTGTTCCATTCAGCCTTTCAATGGAAACTTGAGTTTGTTTCTACGTTTGTGTTGCTTAACCAAGTCAGGCTGATGTGTACTTTTGATTTTGTGTAATAGATAGATGCTACTACTATCAAACATGATGGAGTATAATTATATCCTACATCTTTGAATAATTCTTTCATCCTAGATATATCCTTAGGATGCTTCAAAAATTTCTCTTCATTAAAATTCATTTTCTATCACCTCCTCATCCATGCATAAGCACATTGAGGCAATTAGCACCATATGCTTAACTAGGTGATAAAGAAACACATAAATTGAAACATCAAGAAAAACGACACATAAATACCTTCAACGGGTCCAAAAGAGATGCTGGTATCCTCGAACCCTGCAGAAATTCAACCAGTTATTACATAATAATTTTCCAAAACAGACAACCAAAAAATAGGTGAATGTGCCAAAATTGCATATCAAACAAGAAGAACCATATAGCATTAAGGCTTTCAATAACTGATGGCTAAGAAAACACACGTTACACTGATCTCAGAAGTGTGCAGAAAGACATGGGTATACTCAATACCAGATGTAATCAGGAAAAAAAAAAGGTAATTAAACTGAAGGACATCAAGACAAACATAAACTGGATACTCAAGCATAATTAGATAAAAATGATTTCACCTGTGGGACTCCTAAGTCGTAGATGACCTAATCCAACATAATAACCTTTCGGCAGCTTAGGAAAAGATAAGCCCTCAAATTAGAGAAACACATATCTAAGTATCTTATATTATGCATCAATTACATGAAGATTAGCATTAACTAGCCATTTCATATTAGTGAAGAAAACATTTACAAAAGCTTAAAAGTTGGACACTGCCTTTATGCAAGATATTCTGCCAAAGGTCCATAAAAAGCATCTATTCATGATTTGCTGGAATTTTTATCTCTTAATACATTCTATTTCAAGACACCACCAAAGATCAAAAATATAAATCTTTACAAAAGTCCCCTTCCGATCCGTGATTTCTGGAACTCTATTAACAAGTTGTGGTGGATTAATCTAGTTTTAACTGATATTAATGATCCATGCTTCTGATAATTAAAATTCCCGATGTAGCACAATTTCTTTTACCCATAGCATTCTATCCGCTTTAATCAATTTACTATCATCGTAGATTCATGTAGCTCATGATAGTTTAGCTGCTACTATTAATGAGACCCAATTATCCTTTATCAAAGTTAGTATCTATTTTTATGCATCCAGAGACATACTGCCCATGCCAACCGGTGCTTAAATAATGGACAAAATTCTATATCACCTAAAAAGAAAATCAGTTAGCATGAAAGAATACAATCACTGTCTAAGATTAGAAAATACAAAGGCTTTGAGTTAGTTTGATTATATGGAGATTCCAACTTTAAATAAAAAATTTAGTCTAGCAAAAAAAAAAAGCTTTCTTCTCTATCCACTCCTAAAGAGAGTTTATGAGCAAGCGACAAAATATGAAATTGATGGCTACCTAAATCAAAAATTCTTTCTATATTGGGTAGAAGTTTATTCGCTGAAAACTTGCAACTAAAATCATATTCTCACGCAAGCCAAAGAAGCTTAACGGAGCTGCAATAGTTGACGTAAGCCGTTAACAGAATATTAGCAACCGCTTTCTGTTTGTCAAAGCTGCCCACACGTATATCCGGTCAATTATCAACTTTTCCTCTTTTGTTTCGTACCTTAAAGATCGCATTTAGCTTTTCAATTGACAATATATCCACCAAAGGTCTGGAATACAACTGGCAACAAGAGTAACGTTTTAAGGAGTTCATGAATTTTCAGATAAAACTGCATGTAACAACCTCTAGCAGGCGTTAAAAGACTACTCAAACAACCTACCTTGCATGCTTAACTATTTGAATGTAAGTTTCCATTATGAGAATCTTAATAAGTAAAATTATTAGGTTCCCTAGACAACAAATGTGTTAAAATACCCATAGAACTTCAGAAATCTTTCCACAATTTTGTTATAAAATTGAAAATTAACGAATGTCATAATCTTCAAACTAATTCGTGCTCCAAATCAGCAAACGTGTTACTAATCCCAAAGTTGCAATTTACAAGTCAATAGGCAACAACAAAGCACACTCAAACAAGTGCAGCATGCATAACATAACTAAATCTACATCCCAAAAACTGAAATAAGAGAAACAACAAACCCAGTAATAGTTTAGGACAATTTAGGCCAGACATTCAGAATATGGTCAAGTTAACAATCATCTGAAAATAGATAAAAGTAAATTGATAAATGACAGGGAACATATACCTTTATCAGAGAACTGCATGTATGAATCGACTTTGGCAGGAGGAATAGGGCTTTTATACTGGACACTTTTGGTCCTCTCTCTTAAAATCTCTTCAATCTCCTTATAATACAACATCTTGGCAGACCCAGCAGTCCTCTCCTGTTGTTTAGCCTTCTTGAACTCCTTCAACAAGTTCCTCCACTTGTCGGTGCACATGGTGGGGGATCTATCAAATCCCTTTTCCCTCATCTTAGCCGATATCTGCTCCCACAAGTGCTTGTTAGACTTCGAAGTGTTGAATAAACCGTCCATCTCCCTTCGCAAAGCGATTAAACTCCTCGTCTCCTCTTGAACCCAAGTCTCCGCTCGCTTTTTAGGGACCTTAACCTCGTGGTCCTCGCTGCTACTCTCACCGAGTATCATTTGCTGCTGGTGTTGGTGAGGATGGGAAAGGGGGTGGTGGTGGTGTTGATGGTGCGGCGGCAAATCTCCATTGGCGGTGACCTCGATCATCATGTCTCTGGATGAAGCGGTGTTTTCTTCTTTGTAGAAATCTAAAGGGCGAGGCTTCTCTGATATGTACATAACGTTTACGACGATGAAGAGAGAGATGGGTTAGCAGGAGATGGGGATGAAGAAGGAAGTGAAGGATTTCACGAGGTGGGTTGTTTTCATTGTTTGCATAGGGATGTGGGTTTTGCTCGATTTCCGGTTCTTAGTTGAGCTTTACTGAATTTTGGTTTTTGTTCTTTTTACAGCTGGTTATGTTCAAAGTGGGGGAGGGAGACTCAGCTTCATTTTTGTTTTTGTGAGGAGAGAAAGAAAGAAAGCGTGAAGTAAAAGCTTTTAGTGAATAATCAGCGGAGAAAGAGGGATGCTTGAAGTTAGACTCATCTCCCTCGCCCCAATCTCTCTCTCTCTCTCTCTCTCTCTCTCTCTACTTATGGCTTATTTCTAAAATGCAAAGCAAGCTCTAGGCTTCATGTGAACCGACCATAATTAGTGGGCTTTTCAAATTGGGCTACTCCAATTTTTTCCTCTAATATCAGTTACGAGGTAATTATGATTTAGTTCATTAAGTAATATAAAATATTCTTATAGTGTAATTATTATACAATTAAAACATTTGTATTTTGTACAATGAACAAAGGTGTTATATTTCATAAATAAATTGCATTATGGTTCTTTTGCCTACCCACATTACCATGTATGACAATTATTATTTTCTCTTTTGTGTAACTATGAGACAATAGATTAATAATTTTAAGAAAATTAGACACAAACTAAAGCCTGTTTGGTCCCTACACATAACTTGTGCATATATGATAAGTAATTTTCTATATGCATGTCGTTACAAATAAAAGTTTGCTATAAAAGTCTTCTTGTCGTATGCTTTAACAAGTGTGTAAAAGCCCACAACAAGTCTATATTTGGAGTGGATGAGGAATTTACATTTATATTGACCTTAAGCTAAGAGTTAACATAGGAAACTAGTTTTCTTTATAACTAACATTGTGAATGCTATCGTGAAGCTTTATGATGAGTATTAGCAAAGTATTACTATTTCTTCCAAGCCTTAGTGAGGATGTAGTTTAAGATAATATTATTCCACAAAGACAATAATATATCCCCCATTCTCCATTCGATATCATAGCATACGGCAGCCTGAGTTTACAAAATATTTTTCTAAAAAAAAGAGTTGTGAGAACATGTAGTACCCTTAAAGATATTTTTCTTGAACATACTTGAGACACATGTTTTCACCCAATTTAGCAAACAACTTCATCTTCCCATGTCTAAGATTACAAATACCTGAACTCTACAATTTTGACTTTATATATAGCATATTGCCAAACTACATGCATTTTATGGTATTCTCTTTTGTCCTTCTAAATAAAATTTCGTATGAGCATATTGAGATCATCACAAATACAATTAAGAAGTCAAGTAATATGCATTTATGTATAGGTGAAAGAAGTTAAAATAAATCAACACTGGCAATGCAACTAGTTCATCATAATAAATTATTTTCCATATATCAAGTTCAAGTGCAAATTATCAATTAATCTATGAAAATCACAAACTTTTTCTTGTAAATATTAAGATACGCATTTATGTATTTGCCATGTTAGTCATTATTGCCCATGCCACAAATAAATTTATTGTCACACTTATTATGGTTTGCCATATATGGAGAAAGGAAAACTTCAGGTTTATTAAACGTAAAAACTCCTTTAAAAGTTTCTTTGTACTCTTTACATACTCTTCGTAGCATTAGAAAAAATAATATTATCGGCAAAAACTAATAGAAAGTTGAGAAAGCAGTATTTTTGTGATTGAGAGGAATCCAATGTTTTTAGTAAAATATAAATCATCTAGGAAAGTTTTTTCATACAAAGAATAAATAAGAAATGGGAGATTGTATCTCCTTAAGCAAGTTAACATTTAAGATTAAACATATTGAGGGGTTAACTATTAGGCATGAGGGATATTGACAAAGTAAACATGATGAGATCAACTTTGTGTTTGGGTGAATCGAAGTCTTCTACAACTTATTAAAGTAAGTGCGATTTAATCATGCAACTAGCTTTACCCTTGATCTTCATAATCATATAATGTATTGTTATTAATATGCCCTTAAATCAATCATTTAGTAGAATGATAAGGTATTATTATATAATAATCTTATAATTTGTTTGATGTAAAATAATGGACAAATTATCAAATTAATCTATAAAATTTTGATACTTATTATTGTTATATCCTTAATATTTTTTTCGTTACAATTAGGTCCCCGATAGTTTTCACTTGTTTGAAATGCCCTTTTTTTTTTTTATTTTCTACCAACAACAAAAAAATTAGTTTAGATCATGTTTGCACACTTTAAAAAATAACTCAAAAGAATGACTTAAACTAATTAATTAAATTAACAAATTAATATTAGCCTAGTGTTATTAATTTATCAATTTAATTAATTAGTGAAAGTCATCATTCTGAAATTATTTTCTAAAGTATTCAAACATGGACTAACTAGTTTTAACTTTAATAGAAATGGGAGAAACTAAATCTTTAAAACAAATAAACAACATCTAAGATTAAATTGTAAGAAAAATATATTAGAACCAAATTGTAATAAATGTTAAATTTCGTAAACTTAATTTAGTAATTTGCCCCAAATTATCTTATATTTTGTTTTAGAAACAATTAATAAGGTAAGAGAAAAAAACACGTACACATGATGGGAGAGGAAAGGTGAAAGAAGAGAAAGAGGAAAATTTCCAATAGGTTTTAACACCTTAGACTTGCACGGTTTAAAAAATTCTAGAAAAGGGCTTCTATTTTTTTTTTCCTTAGTCTATTAGCTGTTTGATTTCTATTAGCCACTATATAATAAGTTAATTTGTTCTCTCTTTATAAGAGTATTTGCTTCATGGCATAAAATATTCAAAAGTATATCCTTTGAGTATAGTTTCGAGAAAAGAAAAAGAGAGAAAGGAGTCTATTAAACCTACAACCTATATTCTTTCTCTTTATGAGATTGAATTTTAAATAGCAAATAAATTTTATGTTGAAGGTTTGAGCAATCATTGTTAATGTCAATACCTTTGGAGAGAAGTTAATCAAATATCATTGTCTTAAATTCCAAATAAAAGTTTGGGCCAAGTATAGAAAAGCATAAGCAAATATCAATGAGAATAAGATTCTATAAGCTCCCAAAGTTCCTTTCTCAGGATTCCACGGAATGGGTATTGAAATTTTAATTGAGTAAAAAAAGAACTAATATATATTGGCTAAGGCATGACTATATGAACTCTCGAATTAATTATTTAATTATTCGGGTTAGATTAGATGATTATTTAATTAAAAGGAACACGTGCGGTGAACCGATCTCGTGTGCAGCTTGAAAACAAAAGGTCCGCGTGGGGTGGTAGTTGATAGGGAACTCTAAAAACTCTGGGCAGTTTTGGTCGTGGAAGGCTGAAGAAAAAAAATTGTGCAATTGGCTTCTTTCTTCTTATCTGCATGATTGAAGGGGAAGGAAGAAGCTTTTTGGCTAGATCTGTGCACGAAACTAAAAGAGTCAGAGAAAGAAAGTGCAACAAAAGCGCACTAGAAAAGAAGAAGAGTCACAGTGTTCGGCTCTGTGCGAAGGCATTTCTTGGCAGTTTTTCGGTGCATTTTCACCAAATCTGTGCCAAATCCGATGAGTCGCACGGTTCTGTGGTATTTTTGGTGTTTTTCGGTGGCAACGAGCGGTAACCAACGGTGTTGCGTGGTAGCTCTGGTGGCTGCACATGTGACGGTGCATGGAGTACGTGCAATGCTCTATTGATGTGTGTAGTAGTTTTTGTGCAGCAGTGACTCTTTATAAGTATTTTTTTACATATATTCTCTCTATTTGTCTATTTTTGTGCATAATTTAGGATTTGAATGTCATCCACAAAGTATAAGGTATAAAATTTTGATGA